ATGTGTGTACAACCTATCGTAAACTTGTTGGTTTTACTGAACAATAAAAAAATTAGCTGATATAAGGAGTGTGATGTATTCATCCCATACATTTCAAACAGTCTGGTCAAGACACTTTGTATGAAAACTAAAGAAAATCCAATTTTCGTCCTCAGACCTTTTTTAGATACTTTTGAAAGTACTTAAATACTGAATTCTTTGCACACCTTGTCACCTGAGGAACATTTATAAGTTCTTTTATCTACTAGTTTTAAATTCCTAACTTACGAAGTCATATAATCACCAAATTACTTTCTTAACAATAGGGAAAAGAGGTGGTCGTGGTCGTGGTGATCAAAGAGGTGGTCGGGGCGGACATGATTTTTCACGTGGTCGAGGAAGGGGGGATTCTCGGGGTGGTCGTGGCGATTTCCGAGGAGGACGTGGTGGTTCTCGTGGACGGTGGAGTGATGGAGGTGGTCACAGTAATCGAGGCGGATTTCGTGGTGGGAGGGAAATGAATGGTCAGCGTGGTGGTGAACGTCATTCATTCGGCGGAAAGCGAGGCGCAAATTTTTCTGCATCTAATACACCACAAAGTAAAAAATTCAAATCAGAAGACTAATTCACTGTTTTTGTATGATAAAACTTTTACCTGCACTGCTTTTCTTTTATTCCAAATCTCGTTCTTTTGCTACAGGTCATTTATTTAAGATCACTTTTTCCTCTTGCTGGGCTACTATGTCTCTATCCTTGAACTGGTCGGGATTTCTATGTTTATGGTTTTCAAAAAGCATTTCCTAAACCTCCAACCTAATTTCGTCAAGTTATTTATGGTAAAACCTAGTCATCCTACAATGAGTACATATTTACTGATTATCAAAATTGATTGTTGCAGACAAAGTTTGTTTGCTTGTTTATTAATTCTGTTTAAAGGTCCTGGAACGATGAAAAGGGTCCTATTCCTAGCCTATTTCTATAGTACCTCAACAAGCTGATTTTTTTTAACAGAAGTAGGTCAGTTCAACTTCATACATAGGTTAATGTATCAGACAGATTGCTTTCTCTTCCAATTAACTCTTATTAATGCCAAGAAAATAATTATTAGTTAGTCGGAGGGTTTTCGTGTGTTGGCCTTGTGGTTAAAACGTGCAAGGTACGATTATTAAGTCTTAGTTTTCAGTCTCACTCCACCTTCGGTTTAGTTTCCTAATTCTATCACACTAAATTGTGGCTCGAAACCTGCAAACCGAACCTTTATTTGGTTAGTGAGTAACAATTTATCAATTCGTGATAACTTCTGAGATGATTGTTCGGTGGTCGTCACTGTATAAATTCTCATAGTAGTTATGTTCTCGGTATAAAAACCTCTTCCGGAAGTTACCTCAATTTAATGCATACGAATTCGTTCTCCATTTTCATGACCCCTAAGAGTGGTGTCTCTCATTCCAAGCTTAGCGATTAGTCTAGTGTTCCAGTTTGGCTGAGTTTAATAAATCGGAAATCAGCGATTTAGTTTATTGATAACATGGTTTTAATAGGCTTCGTAATTGGTATTACGTAACGTTCCTTTTGCTTTATTTTTGAAAAAATCAAAATTTATATGCAGTAGAGAATTCGGCTTAACGCACTCAACTTATTTGCAAGTGGTAACCGAGGCAACCCGAAATATCAGATATGGTTTGTGATTGTTTATATTTTCATCTACATTGCCACGCCTCGAAAATGACAAAAGGTTATTCATTATTATTTATAAATGTCTACGAGAAATATCAATATTATTACAGTTCCACCAGGTAAAACCCTCTTACTATTTGGCCTACTTTCCTGCCCAAATTTTTATCCGTTTTCCACTATTTTGTCTTAATTCGTTCAACGTTAATAGGCAGAAACTCTAAATATTAAAGAATCAACAAAACGTTAAGAGCTCCTTTACATCATGTAACAATAATAATAACTTCCTATTATTACAGTAATGGGGTAATCAGCCATTCAGAAAATAGCCTTACAATAAATCACTGTATTATCAATAAATGGTCATTTTTGGTACAATTCAATTGCATCCACACTTCAGTTAAAGAGGGACAATTAATAACTTCTTGTCTAGATATTTCCTAATTTACCTTAAATATATTGAGAATCGGGAGGTATTGAACAGATACTTCGCCCACACATAGGACTTCTCAACAGTATGCATTCACTCTCTTGCCGAAGATAAAACTTCTGGGATAATCTTAAGCCTTAAGTATTATTGCGTTGTTATCTAATGATTGTAGACCGACATCATCAAAATGTCGCCGGTTTCAACAAAACAGCTATCCATTGCTTATTGACGTCCAATGATTGTGTAGATGTAAACAGTCCTTCATATAAACTAAGGATTGGACAATTCTCAAACTTTTTATACCAGTAGTGTTCTTCGCTTTTTTAGTCTCGATCTGTTTAGGTTAAAAATGAAATGCCGATTACGGCAATGTAGTGTTTCTTGTTAGATTATGTTCCTGTTGTTCACGAGATATTAAGCATGTTACCAAGCTCAGTGATGCTCTTGTCATAATGCTTGCGTACCCTCCCAATCTGGTTTTATGCGCCATTCTCATAGGCTTTGTAAACCTATTAATAACCATTCGTTGCTCCCTTAGTGCAATCTTTTATGAATCGTGTCAGTTAGTCTAAGTTTTATCGTTTGGACTAGCTAGATTTAGATACAATGGTCATTAGTCTGTGTTCCAAGAATCAAAACCGAAGCTTGTTCACCACATGAACAAAGCAGAGGAAATCTACCTGAAAATTTGTTTGACCTCAAGTCTATGTATAGCTACATTAGCTCTTGGTACTACGACGTTAGGAAATCGTCTTAATGTAAGAAAAAGTAAGTTCTGTGGTACTGTTCAATAAATACATTGCAACTCAACGAATCCTATGAAGCTCAGTTAATCATTTTATAATAGTCTCGCTTCTGTTTAGGGAGTTCTTTTTGTTAAGCTAGCTTATATTTCTCTCTTATTACATACTAGGATTTCTCTTTTTAATCTTAAAGGTCTATTCTACTGAGATTTCGAAAAACTATTTAGACATTCATTCTTGACCCTATTATGTTTGTTGAAATCCTTATTCAAGCTAAACTGTTGGAATGGTCCGATTACTTACTGTTTCTCTTAGTCTGTGAATATATTGAGTTAAATATTTAGCTGACGGTTAATTTCTCAGTAAGGTTTATTTTTACCAGTGGTTGGAAACATAGAAACACCAATCTTCGTATATTATTCATTTTACATGCGAGTGGCTACTTTACTTCGGAATCGGCATGCCTTCGCGGAATATCTTTGATCGTTCCATCACTAAGCGTAATAATTATTTTTATTGGGCTATAATAGATGTGTAGTTGAGAAAAATGTGTTAAAAATCAGTAATGTTTTATTTTATTTGTGCTGTTTGTGTCAACGTAATGTATTTATGCCCCGAGCAATCGTTGTTCTTCGCTTGACATTGTCATCCTTTCTGTTTAGCATCGTCCCATGTATATTGGTGGAAATCAAAAATGTTTTGAATAGTCGAAATCCTTTTTAGCGGTTTTTAGAATCACTAATTATTCTGAAATGTTTTATGAAAATTGTTTAAATATGTCTAAAGGTGTGTATAATCCGACTATAGCCCACGTAACCAACCATCACTTTAACAGCGTTTAGAAATCAGCGGACATTTGTCTTCATCTGAGATTCAGATGTATTTACGTATATAACATGCAACGGTTCACTACTGATTTTTAGTCTAGAAATCTACTAATCCATTTAGAATATGATAAGCTTCTTCAAATGTTATTGGTTAGTATTTCGAATTGTTAACAAACTGGTGAGTTCACTAGTACTTTAAAAACATTACTTCTCTGAGTTTAATCACTTCGTTTTAAGCGGTGATGCTGAAGTTTCTTTTTGTAAAAAATGTACTAACAGAATAATCGACTCCGGATACAACTTCTTTTTCTGCTGCTTACACTACATTTGTTGTCGGTTTAGTAATGTGTATATAGTTACCATTGAAGTCCAGCTGCCAATGCTAGTCCATATCCGTTATTCGAAACCGATCAATCTCTCGAGTTCCTTTGAATTTTATTTGGAAACTTTTAAATATATTTACAACATATTGCACTTAAATAAGACAAACAGAACGTTACAGCTACTATTGCCAGATAAGAATACACAATCTACGCACTGGCTTTTCAAAGCTCACTAACTGCTAAAGCTTCTATTTAACAAAAATATCAGCCCCGGAAAATATTATTGGGTCAAAACAAGTAAAGTAGTCTGACAAGTGGATTGTATGTTCATGATCTCTTCCCAACAGTTACATGATTCTAGCTATTCATAAGGTGCACGTTTCTATGCTGGTTTGTTGGACGTTTCTTCATTGTCATAAAGTTTGGCAACTTTTGAATAGGTTGTACGGCTTACATTTTCAGTAAAGATATTCTGTCAACTATAAGCTATTCTCACTACTGATTCTCTCATCACGACTTCGTACACACTTTGTATGGTGATGTTTAATCTGATTCTGTTCCAACGAGTGACTAATAAAATCAATGCGCGTCAAAAATTTATCGCATACTTTACATTATCCACGTTTACCATCTAGTTGGTTGAACAGAATCAGTGTGTACTTCTTTAGGTAGTGTAGTGGCTAAGAACTTACACCAATAGTCTCATCGTTATATAATGTCTCTGCGTACTCAATAGACTTAGTTGAAAACTTAAAATTAACAATTATTGATCTGCAAAAAATAGTCGTCAACCGAATAAGATTTCTAAAGTGCGATAATTCATTTACTAGTTAAGAATTAGGTGAAGTTACGGAATATGAATAAATATTTAATGACAATTTACTCAATAATGAATTCATAACATTGGCCATAAATCTTTCATTGCCGACGAGCTTACACAATATATTTTGCACAGCAGCATTCCAAACAATTAGATCATACATATGTGACTTGTTATATTCCTTTCCTGCGTTGGAGAATAAAATCAAAATAAGCCACGGTCCATCATATCTTCGAGGTCATCATAGATTTTTTCCATATGCGTTGAATATTTCACTTTATTAGTAAACACTTCAACAACAAATTCACGATGACAGAAAAAGTCCGAAAATTCTTTAAACTTGTCTTGTGATTGTTGACTAATATGGTGCTTAACGGCTTCTATTAACGTTTGGTTAGCCTCTTTCATTGTTTGTATCAATTTATCAATTGACGGTTCAACACCCGGCATTAGACGACGCTTGGGTCGACCTAAGCGCAATGCGATCTCAGCTATTTGATGACATTTCTCATGAAATTCATAAGCATGGTTCAACTGTTCGTCTGATAGTATGTCATTTGATATTAAAATTAAGGCTTTGACATTTAATTTAATTGCCTGCTTTGTTAGATAAGCAGCTAGTTTATTATTACCTGTATATTGTTTGATCAAAATAAATATATTTTCAAATAAACGAGCCGATGAATCATCAAGAAATAATTTAATAATCCCTTTTGGTAAACTTCCAACCAACTTTTTTTGAGCTCGTAAACTGATCGACTGTGGATCGAACCGTTCTGTTGAATCTTCTGGTGTCTGAGAATTTTGAGGAGCAATTGGTTTGTTAGTCATTCTTCAAGTGTAAAAGTCAGAGTTTGCAATTTATTTTGTATATCAATTTGTATAGAGGCATATCAGATTTTGAGCGATAGGGTGTGGTTTCCAACATACAAAATGGACCAATAAGGAGTGAGCATAGGATAATTAGCTGATTGGTTAACTCGACCAGGAGAAATACCCAGTTGCAGAAACAACCAATTTAGGAACACTAGTTAGTACTTTTGAAAGGTAATGTGTATTATATTTTATCACTATGACCACCTAAGCACATCTAACTAGTTTATTGACTTCAATAATTTTCCACTGACGCAAATAAAACAATGTCCAAGCTTAATGAGACTGGTAACAATGGAAATTCTGAGCCTGTTTACTTCAGTTAACAATCATTTTACGAATTGTTATTCTGACCCAGGTCTATAATAATTGGTTATCCATAGGTATCCAGGTTTAGAGTATCCTTCTGTCTCGTTTGTTACTTCCAGCTCACTTGCGTCGGTCTTTGGGAACAGGTGTAAGAGTATCAATCAGTCTTTGATTATAGTTTTGTCTACTCTACTTTAAAAAGTATAGTACTACGGACAAATTTTATCTTTTACCTGGCATAAGTGGGTTCTCTTTCGTACCTACTTTACATATCCTAATCAATAAAATAAACTCAAATCAAACTTATTCTGTATAGAATACAATTTCGACAATTGTAGATTGAATCTAATCATACAGACGTTTCTTCAGAACTGTTGTACGATGTAGTTCATGATTTATCAATACACCTTGGATATTTCTTATAAAATCTTTACTCGAAAATAAATTATTTTATGTTTTTAACACTAAAATTTCCACCTACGTATTCGATAAGTTTCTTTAAAGTGCCCAGAACTAATAGACGATTTTCCATAAATTAGTTGCAAATCTGTTTAGATGAACTATTAGCTTACATATCTACACGACCAAGACCAAGAGTTACAGTAAACCTAGATAGAGATGTTTGTGACGGTAAATAATTCTCCGACATGAAAGGTTTTGTGAATCTTCAATATTGTTGCTGAACACATCTATGGCGGCCTGCTTGAATAACGGGGCTACCTGTTTCTACCATCTAATTATTTCAACAAGTTATCTGCTTTTCATTTTGTTTTAACGACTCATTATGTCCATTAATCGCAGAACCTGGTTAAATGAGTTACAGGACGACTGCCTAGTATCACTACATTATTTCAATATCTATCGTCAGGATCGATCAAACAATAAAAAGAGGTGTGACGGCGGTGTAGCTACGTTTGTAAACGTGAACTAGTGTCGATCTACGTTTGCATGTTTCAACTCTTCAAATGACTTTGTCGACTGTCTAATTCTAAGATGTCATTCAAGGCATCTGAATAAATAAAAATATCTTTATGTTACCAATATCTTCGTGACTCCAGACTGCACTATCTGTTTTTTGCTGATGAATTCACTGAGTTCGCTGTTACTGTCTTCAGCGATTCACTTTCAGTTGTATGTGGTGATTTAAATTCATGTGACTGTAACTTCTTTACGTCACTAGGTCACCAAAATGTGGTAGATTTTCCTACTCGTTTGGACGCTCATTTAGACTTCGTTTTCATTAATGATGTGACTCGTAAACGTTCTCCATTGTCTAGCTCGGATCACTGTATAATTCTTGTTCTATTTAAAGTATTTGCAAAGCATGGGAAAAGTACACTCTTAAATTAAACCAAGAAAAACAACTATAGGAATTACTCAGAAAAAAATATCCAAAATCTGAAAAATATGTTTCATACGACTAATTGGGAATTATTTTATAGATGACTCTGTAGTGACTCACGTTTATCACGAGAACACGACTGGTTTAATAAAAACAATTATTATTATAACCAACTGTACCAGTGTTTGTTTTAACGTGCTTTTGTTTGACTGTGCTAATGACAGCTATTTTGTGCTTCCATTCTTTACTTACTCTTTGATTGTAACTTCGCGCGAATTCGGTTGCGTTCTGTAACCAAGCTTGTATCCTGGCACGATCTCGGTATCCTTTCGATGCCACGAGATCGCCAGCAAATAAACATCGACTTGGTCCATTAATTGCCTTCTGGTATTCGGCTTCTCGGGGATTTTATGGGGTCATTTGGAACGAGCTACTTACGCCTTCTGATCTAATTGGCACGTGTTTCTTGGTAGTGGTGTTCATAGTTAATCTCAACTCGACGCCACGCTACAATTGGTAATCCCAATTCGACAACAATTGGTGACCCGTATTTTGGAACACGCCTCAGCTTCTGGTCAAATCTTCCAAAGAAGCCAATTCGGTGAGTCTATGATTTATCTATCCACGTCTGTCGTATATTTTCATATTTTTTAATATATAATATACGCGACATGACGGATAACGATAAGAATAGTATTAATATAATAGACTCACACGTATGTGTACCGAATCCTTGTCACTTTTTATTCGCGTGATGATGAATTCCACGCTTTATTCGAGAAATGTTACCCTATTAACGATTCTCCTCGCTGACCCGACTGCTTGGTACGGAATGCATACGCATAAGCATATCCGTCTACCACCCAGCACCAAATGGTTAAGTTGAACGGTTTCACTGCCAACTTAAAAGTGTTCTACGAGCACACGAAAACGGCAACTGGCACGAAACCTTACCGCTCGTTCTTTTAGGGGGGAGAACGAGCTTAAAGGCAGATATCCAATGTTCCGCCACTGAACTTGTATACGGCACGACATTGCGTCTGCCCGGAGAATCCTTCACACCACGGAGCAGACCTAATTTCGGTAAATCAGACAACGTCCGTCGACTGTCTGCATTTATGTGAACGCTGTCTCCGGTGTCAACTCGAATACAACATCGACAGGTCGCTCTCTCTCGAGGGTTATCTACCTGTTCACATGTTTTTGTACGAGTTGATTCGGTACGCAAACCTTGGCAACAACCTTACGAAGGCCCTTTTCACGTGATCGCTCGTCACGAAAAGACCTTCAAGGTTGATCGATATGGACGCGTCGAGATCGTCAGCGTTGATCGTCTCAAACCAGCACACGTCGATGACAGTGCCCTATCTGGTAACCTGAGATTCAATGCTAGACCTATTAAACCTAGCGGGATCCTTAAATCTTCAGGTCCCACGCTAGATGCATCTGAGACCTCATTCTCACGTCCCGGTCAACAGCACGCGTCATCTGCACCGTCTACGGACGAGACGATAGTCTCACGTCCAGATCAGCAGACCACGCCGCCTCTGACCTCGGATGAGATTGCAGGCTCACGCGACGCAAACGAGACTGCCGTCTCACGTTCCGGTCGCCGAGTACGGTTACCCGTACGCATCCGCGAATAGTCGCACAGTCAACAACCGATACGGTGTAGGATTATTCCTATACTACACGTATGCTACACTCTTCTTTTTTGATTTTCTTTTTGTTTCCTGAGCCCACGCCTTTGACCATCTCCGTTTGGTTCCGTCGACTTCAGTCAACTTTGGCGAAAGCTGGCCTGATCACCCACGCTCTTGTCAACGTACTCAGTCGATATATTGGTTTCGAATGCTTGGCATACGCTTGGTCTCGAACTTGGTCGTTACGGTCGCTTCTGGTCTTTTGGCTCAACGTGGTTTCGTCCTTCGTCTGCAGCGTTTCTGGTGCGCACCCCTACGAACGCCCTCTTCAGATTCTGGATACAAACCACTCTGGTGTAGCATGCCAACTCAAGCAATAAATACAACACATCGCTCCTGGTACCGTTCTCCGAAAACGACCTTCGTTGGCAACTCGACGATCAACGATCGCTTTCCTGTTCGCCAATTCTTCCGTCCTACAATCGCTCGTCAGCCGATCAGTCCCACGATTCAAACCGCTTTTTATCGAAAGTGTAAACCCTTTCTAGCGGGGGGCTCCTGTAGTGACTCACGTTTATCACGAGAACACGACTGGTTTAATAAAAACAATTATTATTATAACCAACTGTACCAGTGTTTGTTTTAACGTGCTTTTGTTTGACTGTGCTAATGACAGCTATTTTGTGCTTCCATTCTTTACTTACTCTTTGATTGTAACTTCGCGCGAATTCGGTTGCGTTCTGTAACCAAGCTTGTATCCTGGCACGATCTCGGTATCCTTTCGATGCCACGAGATCGCCAGCAAATAAACATCGACTTGGTCCATTAATTGCCTTCTGGTATTCGGCTTCTCGGGGATTTTATGGGGTCATTTGGAACGAGCTACTTACGCCTTCTGATCTAATTGGCACGTGTTTCTTGGTAGTGGTGTTCATAGTTAATCTCAACTCGACGCCACGCTACAATTGGTAATCCCAATTCGACTACAACTCACTGGAAATCGCTTCTGATGTTATCACTTGTCACCTTAGATTCTGTTTTGATATTTGTTGTACCACTCAAACCATTTTTGTAAATTTTGATCGACTTACGTCTTCACAACTAAAACGACTACGGAGGATGAAAGGGAGAATGCACAAGGAGAGGAACTCTAATGAAGTTTGTAAGCTAAATGGTTTGATAAACCTAGAGATTAGACCTCTCAACTGTATGTTTACTCAAAAACTCTTGTCTTGCAAAAACTCTCCAAGTATGTGCAAACTCTTTAAAGAACTTACAGGTGACAGACAGTTTAGAAGCGATAACCAGCTGAATGTTTGTGACTTAAATAAGTCTTTTGCACGTCAGTCATCTGATGTGATGCTCCCTCGGTCCACGGGTTTAAATAATAGCTGTGTTTCCACTTTCACAGAGACTGATGTACGATGATGTCTCCAGTCGCCTAATTCATCTCCATGTTTGGGACCTGATGGTATCCCAAACATCCTTTTTAAAAAGTGTGATGACGTCCTATGTTATCCGTTCACAGCTATCTTCAACAGATCCTTCTCATCTACTCTCACACCGAAAATGTGGAGAAATATGAAGATAATTCCTGTACCCAAGAAAACATCTGGTGATAAGAATGTAAAATTTAGACCTATTGCAATAACTTCACCCTTCCT